GGTGATGAAATCTCTGAGTGCTTGCTTGTTCACAAAGGATTTTATTTTTCCTTCACTTATGAAGCTGAGTTTGGCTGGATAGGAGATTCTGGGTTGAAAGTTCTTTTCTTTAAGGATGTTGAATATTGGCCCCCAGTCTCTTCTGGCTTGTAGGGTTTCTGCTGAGAGATCTGCTGTGAGTCTAATGGGCTTCCCTTTGTGGGTAACCCGACCTTTCTCTCTGGCTGCCCTTAGCATTTTCTCTTTCATTTCAACCCTGGTGAATCTGACGATTATATGCCTTGGGGTTGCTCTTCTTGAGGAATATCTCTGTGGTGTTCTCTGTATTTCCTGGATTTGAATATTGGTCTGCCTTGCTAGGTTGGGGAAGTTTTCCTGGATAATATCCTGAAGAGTATTTTCCAGCTTGGATTCATTCTCTTCATCAGCTTCAGGTACACCTATCAGACGTAGATTAGGTCTTTTCACATAGTCCCACATTTCTTGAAGATTTTGTTCATTCCTTTTTGCGCTTTTTTCTCTGTTCTTGCCTTCTCTTTTTATTTCATTGAGTTGGTCTTCGACCTCTGATATCCTTTCTTCTGCTTGGTCAATTCGGCTGTTGAAGCTTGTGCATGCTTCACGAAGTTCTCGTGTTGCGTTTTTCAGCTCCATCAATTCACTTATTCTCCTCTCTATGCTGTCCATTCTCGTCAGCAGTTCAGTCCAATCTTTTTTCAAGGTTCCTATTTTCTTTGCGATGGGTTAGAACATGTTCTTTTAGCTCATTGTAGTTTCTTACTACCCATCTTCTGAAGTCTGATTCTGTCATTTCATCACCCTCCTTCTCCATCCAGTCTGGTTCCCTTGCTGGTGAGGAGTTGTGATCACTTTTAGGAGGAGAGGTGTTCTGGTTTCGGGAGTTTTCATCCTTTTTACGCTGGTTTCTACCCATTTTTGTGGGTTTATCCACCTGTTGTCTGTCTCTGTCCCAGGGAGTTGGAGCTTTATGAGTTTCCGTTGCACTACTGCCTTTTTTGATTTTTTTTTTTTTCAGGTCAGACCCGCCCAGCTAGCAGCACGCCTAGCCTCTGCCTGCCCACAGGGGCTTTGCTGAGCTGCTGTGGGCTCCGCCCAGCTGCCCTGAGCTCTTCCCTGTAGTCCTTTTTATATGGGCGTAGTTAGAACTGTCTGGGCAATGGTGGCCCCGCCTCTGTTATGGCGGACTCTCTCTGTTGTGGCAGGTTGCCTCGGCAACGGCGGGTTGCCTCGGCAACGGCAGCCTGCCTCCGTAGTGGTGGAGAGTCTCAGTAATGGCGGAAGCCCCTCCCCCACGGAGCCGGACCGTCCGGGTTCAGCTGTGCTTGGTTTGAAGAGCTCAACCCAGAGGGTTTCCAATTACTGTTTTTGTTTTCGTTGTTGTTGGGGGTGGAGGGGTGGGACCAACCGAGCCTGATCACCTGGCTCCCTGACTCAGAGTCTTTTCTTTTAAGTTGAACGACCCCGCGTTCCGGTCGCTTGTTGAAAAGGCGCCGGGATCTCCCGTGCTGCGACTCACGGAGTCGGCTCGAACCGCGGCGCCGGCTCCTGGCGGATTTTTTGCCTAGGAATCTCCTGGCCTGGCTCGCTATTTCAGATGAATGGGCTATTCTGCCGTCTCAAGGCTCTGCTCGCCAGCTAAGAGGGCTCCCAGACCAGTGGCTTTTGTACGGAGAACCGCAGCAACAGGGAGTGGTCACAGCAGCCGCGCGGGCGGAATCAGCCCCTCGGGGGCCAAAACAGCCGCACCGGCTGGGACTGCGACGCTGGCGACCCCTCTGCCTGGGTATCTCCTGGTCTGTGGACAATAAGAGTTCGTCTGGAAATGCGGCGTCCACTCACCCTCTGCACTTTCACTGGGAGCTGAAGTCCTGAGCTGTTCTTAGGCGGCCATCTTGAAAGTCCACCCTTACTATATTTTTAATGCTAATTTTTTTATAGATTTGGCTAATAAAAGCACCCCTAAGCTGGTTTCTTGACATTCCTAATCATTCTTTAGGCAATTCCTATTTTTTCACACAAAAAGATGTTCAAGGTTCTTATGCATTTTTCTTATGCTCTGATTTTTAGATCAGTTGTTTCTCCAGAAATCCCTGGTTCCTTTTGTTGGGAAATAATATTTAGAAAACAACATCTGGCTTCCCAGCCTACTCATTGCTACTGTGGCATCATTGCTTTCCAGTCTTTCTCAGAGGATAGAGGATAGAACCAGGAAACACCCTCCTCACATACACATATATATCCACATACACACTTATGTATTTACTCACGTGTGAATCTATTTCTATATCCATTCATCTATATATATTAAAAATCGTGAATTCACACCAATACCAACAATTCCAGCTCAACTTCAGAGTCTATCCTGTCTTCTCTGCCTCACTTCTTCTTATAAATTGTACACTAGGGTCCATTATTTTTGCCCCAGGTCCCTGAGGTGCCTAAAGACTGTTTTTGGCATAAAACAATTTGCAAATTATAGTAATAATTGAAATTTTTATCTGGGTATGGGCTCAGTTTATTCACAACAAAAACAAAGAAGAACATATTTATGGAATAACCACTGAGCTGGAGATGGCAGAAGACTTTCAGGTATAAACAATAATTTGTGTGCCCACACATGTACAAAATAATGCAGAAATAGTTCCTTAGTAAAATTTTTGATCTTTTTTGTTCCATAATTACACATAATAAGGTCTATATTAAAATGTGGAGAATACATGAAGTTTTATTTCTGTTACTGAATTGATTTCACTAATTTTTTGTATATGTATATATGTAAAAAAAAAAAAATCTACAATGGGACTTTTGATTCCCACCAAGATGGAGTAGACCTCACTTCTCCCAGTTTCTCTCTTGAAAAATTGTAAAAACTCCAGATATACTACAGAACACAAGCACAGAAAGACATTGAACAGTGGAAAGAAGACAGACTGCCTAGGGACCTCAGTACTTGAGGAACAATGCAGTGATGAGTCACCTCGGTTTTTGTAACTGCCTTCTATATATTCTAGACAGAACACTGCAGAACCCTTCAACTGCAAACCACCAACAGATACTCAAAACAACACAAAAGATTTCTAGAATATTCTATTCTCCCTTGCCAAGGTGTAAGGAAAAGGTGGCCTATCAACAGAAACCATTTTTGGTCCCACTATATCTAATCATTAACAGAAAATCCTCCTTCAACCCCCATGGTTTCAGTGGGAATGAGTAAGGAAGTAATCTTCCACACTATCCCTCCACCCTGTGAAAACAAGCCGTGATGCACTCTTTCCTCCACTGGGTGATATCAGTCTTTCTACACAGTCACCTGAATCTCCACCCCCACTCAATATCAAGACTAGAAAACATGTTGCAAGTCAGGACCAGTTAACATTCCTGGAGTCTACAGACTCAGGAGAGAGCTGAATACCTATGCATATCCAGCAACAACAAGACTGAATGAGGGGGTACAATGCCATGCCACTCCACTTTCCCCCACTATGGTGTCAGCAGGGCATGGTGGGAAGCTGAGCCTCCATCTCCATCAGACATCAATGAGGCAGAACAAGGTGGTGGGAGGCAGGATCGGTTAGCACTCCACTTACCACTAGTGTAATCAGAAACTAGTGGTGAGCTAAATTTCTAACCCACTTCTCCAGCAACAAAACAGTGAAGCTAATTATAAATATCCATCTGACTCTCATACTCACACTATGCATCAACAGGGCAATTGTCTCAAAAAAAAAAAAAAAAGACTAAATAGAATCTGTAATTTTATAATCTAATACCCAAAATGTCCATCATACAGTAAGAAACTCACAGGGAAATTCCAACTTGAGTGAGAAAAGACAATAAACAGACACCAGCACCCAGGTGAATCAGATGTTGTAATTAAGTGACAAGGATTTTAAAGCAGTAATTACAAAAATATTTTATGTAGCAATGAAAAATTCCCCTGACACAAATTTAAGAAACAAAAAGTCTAAGTGGAAAAACAACAATTATACAAAAAGAACCAATTGGAAACTATAGAAGTAAAAACTATAATACTAATACATCCCATTGGATGGACTTAATCATAGAATAGAAATGAGAGATCAAATCAGTGAATTTGAAAACAGATCTATAGAAGTTTTCCATTCTTAACAACAGAGAGAAAACAGACTGAGAAAAAATTAATGGTATCAAGAACCTGTGAAACAATACCAAAAGATCTAGCATGCGTATTAGCAAAAGCCCATGAGGGAAAAGAAAAAATGTTACTGAAAAAGTATTCCATGAAATAATGACTGAAAAGTGAAAAGTTCTCAAATTTAGTAAAAAAAAAAAAAAAAAAAAAAAAAAAACCATAAATTTACACTTCAGAAAATGTAGCAAACTTCAAATAAGATAAAGTAAGGGAAATTCATGCCAAGATATGTCATACTTAAATTTGTAAAATGTAAAGACAAAGAAAAAACTTGAAAGCAACCAGAGAGAAACAACAGATTACCTATCAAGGAACAATCATCTGAATGACAACAGATTTCTCATCTAAAACCATGGAGGCCAAAAGGAAGTGGCACAACATCTTTCAAGTACAAAAAGAGAAGTATTGCCAGCTAAGACTTCTACAGCAGGAGAAAATATCCTTCACGAATAAGGAAAGATCAAAACATTCTAAGAAGAATAACCAATATAATACATTTCTAGTATGCCTACCCTAAAATAGTTAATGTCAGTTCTTTAAACAGGCAGTAATGGTTATTGTAGACCATTGCTTCTTTTTTGCCCTGTAGACAGATTTACTGGAGAAGTAAAATGCATACAATTTGTATCGAACAATGGTGGTACTTACAAATCCTGGCTAAGATATTTTTGGGGGGAACAATGCTGAATATTTTAAAGGACGATATGACAAGCTGTAAAGTATGTGTTGTAGGTCTAGCCCTGGCTTCCCACTGCCAGTTTGTGACAAAAGTGTGGTCCTACTGTGGAGCCTAAGTGTAAAGGCCTACAGAAGAAGACCCAAAGACAAATGACAGAGCCTCTCAGTATTTGACTCTATCCTTGAGTTGATATAGCACCAGGTAGAAATCTTCTCTAATTTCCCCCAAGAAGAGAAGGAATATTACTTAGAAATATATCTGGGAGTACTCTTAGAAAGAATGTCAGTGATCTGAGATCTTCTGAAGCTCAGCCCAGGACTATTGTCTTGGCAAGAAAAGGAGCGTTTGATCCATCAATTTTGTTCTAAAAGTTCAGGGGTGAGGGTGAAGGAATAGCAGTTTGGGGAGTGGAGGTCTGATTTAAGGGGAAAAAAATAACTTTTCCATTATTCCTCTGTCTGAATATTCAAAGTCTGGAACACATCAAAAGCATTTAAAAATAAAATGGATTGTTATACTTATCTGTCATCCAATGCAGTTTCCATATTATTTAAAATAGCAAGTTATCTTTGGGTAACATTAGCCTTAGTGATGTGAATTGCAGTTTTCTTTATGATGTCAGGGCTTAACTATTTAGTAAGTAGGAGGAAAACGATGTAACAGAATGCACCTTAATAGGAAGAAAATCAGTTGAGCTGAATAAACTAATGTTTACATTCCCTCAGTCTCTATTCTTCATCTAATATTACCCCCATGCTATTAGAGACTCAGCCAAAAATTGAGTTTTATTCTTTTTGGCCCTGTGATTTTCTTTTGGTAAGAAATGTTCAGGCTAAGACACATTAATAAGTGCAAATAAATTCAGCTAACATTTGCCTGGCTGATTCTCAAAGAGGATCAAGAGAGGAAATGGAGAACACCAATGATAAACTATTCAATGGAGCATTTTGAAATTGGCAACTTTGCAAGAATAGTATTTTATGGTGATTCAAATACATAATATGTTTTATAGAATGTTCAGAAAAAAAAATAAGATGATCAAACCACAGTCTTTTAGGTATAGATGAAATGGCAAGGGATTTATTTGATACATAGTAAATATTTGAAAATGATTTCAATTTATTTCAAGAAGAGTACAGATAAGATTAGTTGGGGAAAAGATCTTTATAAGGCACATTAAAATACTTGGAGTTAGATTAGATTTCATTTGTGATGTAAGAAAAAATACATAATATCTCTTTCATATTTTAAGGAGTTATTTAATATCAGTAGGTCGACCGCTGCTCTAGTGTCTCACAATTGTCAAACTTGTCTTATGTATGGGGATTGAATGTGCTTTATTAAATGACTTGTTAATATTATTCTCCCTCAAAAAGGACTTGTGGTGAGAAATGACTGCCACTATGAGTGAACTAGAGGACACCAGTCCTGAAATTCTGCTATTCATTAGTACTACGAGGCTTGCATTAGAATAAGCACACTAAGAAAAAGTAACAATTTCACATTTCATATTTCTCACACATGTGGAAAAAATAAAATTCAAGCCTGAATATCAAATAAATTTAGTGGAGGGAAGTTTTAGAATGACCTGTATTTTTATTTGTTTTGATTTTTAATTTCATGTGGCTTTTCCACTTTGTTTTGTTCTGTTTACATTCCTTAGGTCTTCTGCCAATCACAATACTAGAGTCCCAAATAAGCTGACATGATTTCCAGGTTGCCCAAATAAGGAAATAGTGAGATGCTTAATTTGATTAGTGTAGTTTATTTTCCATATCAAGTAATGTAGGTCAAATTAAGGAAATTTCACAAGCATGAACTACTAGAATTTTAGAGGTAGTGAATACAGTGAACCACCAAATCTCAAGGATCTGTTTTAACCTCAGAAGTAATTCTATCTCGATAATTAATCAATGACATAGTTAAGAATTCAGGAGAAAATAGCCTATTTTGCCAGGATTGTCTGTAAATGTTTAAATTCAAATAAATGGAAAAAGCAAATGACCCAAAGACAGTAGTCTTCAAGAGCTTCGTTGGAATTCACAAAAATATTTCCTTTAAACAGTGTTGTATTTGGGCTATTTCACCTTGGAATTTGAGTTGATGAAGAAATGATGAGTTTAACTGTTCTCCTGTTTTATCTGAATCCTTTAGAGTTTACAAATTAGAAAGAAACAATGTGACATGGTACTGGACCCAAAGGTTTACTATTTTCTCTGTTTGATGTGACTTAGCCTGTTTTCAGGAAGAGTGATCTTGGATATAGAAAGTCTATCTTCAGGTCAGGTATTGTGAGCTACTCACTTCATGACTTTGCAGGTCTTTTAACATTTTCTTTTTTTCTTTTTATAACTAAATTATTACCATTTCAGTTATACAAATTGGTCAAACATGGTCCAGCCGTGCTATCTGGACATTTTTTTTACACTTGCAAATGAAAAACTCATTGTTAATGGATCAATATCATGACTGAATCAATGGCTTTGAGGTCTTAGAAGAAAATTACAGGCTATGAATTGGGTTACCCTGAGGTTTGAATAATGTACCCTATGGAATTACTAATTGTGTGGGGAATATTTGCTGAATGAAATAATGAATGAACAAATCTTGTCCACAGAAGTAAATCCAACCATAGATACCAGAGTTGCAAGGAAACATAATCACCTGAAGGTCAATGTCTTTTTTACACAAAATGCCAATTAGAAATGAACTTGGGTTTCTATTAGTAGGGAACTTTATGTAAGTTAAGGCATTATCTCCTTAAGATCCTACTAACATACATATTAGAGATAGCAGACTTAGTTTATTTCTTATGTATGCTTACTTTTTTAATGTTGCAAGTAGGAAAAAGTAAATGAGGTATTACAAGGGGTCAATCATTCTAATGCTTGGGTTTTGATAACATACATTGTATGTTCGACTGGATTCTTCAAGGTCATATAAGAGCTACATAGGACTTCTTATTTCTCCTAAAACAACCATTTATTTTTTCATAGAAAATAGCTAGCTTTAAATACTATACATATACCAGTCAAGACTTGTGTGCAAAGAATCCCAAATGAATGTAATTATGCCCTGATTTTATCATTCTTACTAATGGAATACTAAGAAAATCTGTTAAGTAGAAAGATTTAGTAAAAGATTTCACAGTATGATAGCTACAGTAAAGCTGACTTTTTAAATGTGAAGAAACTATTCTAGTAGATGGCTAAAAATAAGTAGAAAAGTCTTAGTACACTATTCTGCTAGCTTTGCAAAATAGCATACCATTCTGGCTTGGAGTCTTAAAAGAAAAAAAAAAAAGAAAACTGGGTTATTCTTAAAGAACACAAACTTTGGAAAAGTTGAAATTCAGTAAAATTTGGTTCAAAATACTTAAATATGGACTATATTTATTTTTATGTATATCTAGTTTCAACGTTTAGTCCTACTGCTTATTGTCAGTGTGACAGCAATGAGCTTGGCAAAGCCTTAAGAACCTTTTTGCTGATAACTTACTTTTTCCTCTTTCTCTATCACATTCAGGATATATTGCAAATTTCATTATGTCACAATCCAGTTTAAATTCAGAGTATATGGTGTAGAATTATTTGATGCCCTTTAATGACCAATATTTTGAGCAGCCCATATTCCCTGTAATACAGCCCTAGTATCCGAGATTATGGTATTTAGCATCCTGGAAACATCACCATGCCCTGTGGACAAGAACCCTCGACTGGAAAGAATCCCTGCTTCCTACCTCTTGTGACTCAGGTTTTTACTTTTCCATATGCCTCTGTCCCATGAGTACTTTCTTTACCAATCTCTATTTGAAACCATCTCTACCACCATGGTTGTCCTCTACTAGTCTGTTGAACTGACTAGCCATCTTGATTTGAGAACTGAACAAATTCTTTTCAACTAGGTTAGAATTTTTTCCCTCCCTCCCCCCACCTCCCCACTGCATGGGAGAAATGACAGATACAGTTGACGGGAAGGAAGGCAGCAAATCACACTACCATGTGTGTACCTATGAAACAATCTTGCATGTTCTTCACATGTACCCCAAAACCTAAAATGCAATTAAAAAAAAGAATTATTTTTCCAAATTTAAGTGTAGGGGGTACATGTGCAGATTTGTTACATGGGTAAATTGTGTGCCACAGGTTTGGTATATGGATTATTTTGTAGCCCAGTTAATGAGCATAGTACCCAACAGATAATTTCTCAGTTCTTACCCTCCTCCCACCTTCCACCCTTAAGTAGGCCCTGGTGTCTATTGTTTCCTTCTTTGTCTCCATGTGTACTCAAGCTTTAGCTTCCACTTATAAGTGAGAACATGTGATATTTGGCTTTCTGTTCCTACATTAATTCATGTAGGATAATGACCTGCAGCTCCATTCATGTTGCTTCAGAGAACATGATTTCATTCTTTTTATGGCTGCATAGTATTCCATGGTGTATATGTACCACATTTTCTTTATGTAGTCCACCATTGATTGGCACCTAGGTTGTTTCCATGCCTTTGCTATTGTGAATAGTGCTACAATGAACATACACGTACATGTGTTTTTATGGTAGGATGATTTTTATTCCTTTGGGTATACAGCCAGTAATGAAAATGCTGGGTCGAATGGTAGTTCTGCTTTAAGTTCTTTGAGAAATCTCCAAACTGCTTTTCACAGTGGCTGAACTAATTTACATTCCAAGGAGCAGCATAAAAACATTTCCTTTTCTTTACCACCTCACCAGCATCTGTTATTTTTTGACTTCTTAATATTAGCCATTCTGACTGATGTGAGATGGTATCTCATTGTGGTTTTTGCATTTCTCTAATCATTAGTGATGTTAAGCATTTTTTCTTATGCTTGTTGGATGCATGTATGTCCCCTTTGAGAAGTATCTGTTCATGTCCTTTGCCCATTTTTTAATGAGGTTGTTTGTTTTTTTGCATGTTAATTTAAGTTCCTCATAGATTCTGGAAATTTAACCTTTGTTCAATGCATAGTTCATAAATATTTTCTCCCATTCTGTAGGTTGTATGTTTAATCTATTGATAGTTTCTTTTGCTGTGTGGAAGCTGTTTAGTTTAATTAGGTCCCATTGCAATTTTTGGCTTTTTTTGCAATTGTTTTTAGAGTTTTTGTCATGAAACCTTTGCCAGTTCCAATGCCCCAAATGGTACTTCCTAGGTTATCTTCCAGGATTTCTATAATTTTAGATCTTACACTTAAGTCTTTAATCAATCTTGAGTTGATTTTTGTATATGGTAAAAGGAAAGAGTCCAGTTTCAATATTCTGCATATGGCAAGCCAATTATCCCAGCACCATGTATTAAATA